GGGCCTGAGAAACAAAGGATGAACACTGAGAAGGAGTGTGTGGTACTTGTGGAAGTGGGGGTGATTTGGGGCTAGAAATAGGAGGAATGGTTAAAAGTTCAAGGAGCAATTAGACTTCCAGCTTCCTTTTGCTACTTCATGTTACTGGACATTTCCCTTTCCCACTCCAGCAGAAGGTGAGAGCCTTATTCCCTGAGGAGGGTAAAAAGGGGGCTCTGACTTGGGGTGTCAAGGATGCCATGCTGGAAAACGGGGATTTGCAAGAGAATGTTACATGCAGGAGGATCACCAAGTACCGATGGCAAGAGGGGGCGAGTCAGCCTTGAGTGCAGTCAACAAGTCACACCTTGTAGGTACAGAACTTTGCAAAAACTGTAAAATTGATTGGAAGTGAGTTTGTTGTTTGACATGCATTCAGTTCAGGTCAGTTCAGTTCAGTCGCTCAGTCGTGTCCGACTCTTTGCAACCCCATGAATCGTAGCACGCCAGGCCTCCCTGTCCATCACCATCTCCTGGAGTTTACTCAAACTCATGTCCATCGAGTCAGTGATGCCATCCAGCCATCTCATCCTCTGTCGCCCCCTTCTCCTCCTGCCCCCAATCCCTCCCAGCATCAGGGTCTTTTCCAATGAGTCAACTCTTCGCATGAGGTGACATGCATTAGGATACTTTTTTTAAAAAAAAAAAGCAGAAAATAATAAATATTGAAGAGGATGTAGAGAAATTGGAATGCTTGTGTGTTGCTGGTGAGCACGTAAAATGGATCAGCTGCTGTGGCAAATGGTACAGTGACTCTTCAGGCAATTAAGCAGGATTCCCATATGACCCAGGAATTCCTCTTCTGGGGGTATACCCAGAAGAAGCAAAGTCAGGGACTCAAAGAAATATTTGTGCACCCACATATACAGCAGCATTATTCTCAATAGGCAAAAAGTGAAAATGACTCAAGTGTCCGTGGATGGATGAGTGGGTAAACAAAATGTGATACTGGGAGAAGTTTAAACCTATCACATTGTTGAGAAGCCATCACCACATCCATTTCCAAAAGTTTTTATTTCCCCAAACAGTAGCCTTCTGTGTGTGTGTGTGTGTGTGTGCGTGTGTGCATGTGTGTACACGCTAGTCCCTCAGTTGTGTCTCACTTTCTGCGACCACATGGACTGTAGCTCTCCAGGCTCCTCTGTCATGGGATTCTCCAGGCAAGAATGCTGGAGTGGGTTGCTATTTCCTTCTCCAAGGGATCTTCCCAACCCAGGGATCGAACCTGCATTTCTTGCGACTCCTACATTGGCAGGCGGATTCTTAACCACTGTGCCACCTAGGAAGCCCCCAGATAGTAAACCTATACCCGTGAAAACAATAATCCCCAGTCTCCCCTCTCCTAACTCCCGTCTTCTACTTTGTCTCTATGAAGTTGACTACTCCCTGTACCTCCTATAAGTAGAATTTTAACAGTATTTGTCTTTTAGTGACTGGCTTATTCCACTTACCATGTCCTCTGCCTGCCTCTTGTCTGTAGAAAGACTCTAGCCAAAGTAGAAATTTAAAATCAGAGAAGTGAGGAAATGCAGGAAAAAAGAAATATTGTTAAGCAGGGCAAAAATCCACTAAACAAAGTCAAGGACTTTTAGTCCCTCCTTATGGGCTGTGGATAATATTCTGAGCCTTATCCTTTGAGCTGTCTTATAGATACTGAACACCCTCCTGGAGACTGTAAATAGTGCTGCAGTGAACATTGGGTGCGTGTGTAGAGAAGGTTTTAGAATTTACATCCCTTGCACTTCTCTTTAGGAAGCTATAGAAGGATGCATTGCTTCAAAATGAGGGGCCAGTCATGGAAGAGCAAGGCAGGAGATGGGGTACAACAGACAGGGACTGTTGATAAAGGAAGATCCCCAGAGGCCAGCCGCGTGGCAGGTGGAGGGAGTCAGTCCAGATCAGGGCAGGGCTGAAGTTGAAGGTGCCAGGAGAGGTTTCTTCATGACAAAATTCTGGGAGCCACCTGGCATGTTTGGACACATCTGGAGAAGACTTAGGTACCAGGAGAGTCCAGGGTTGACTTACTGATAAGTACATTAAAAAAGCGAAGCAGAGTGTGTAGGGAAGAAACAATGAATGGCAGGTCCGGTTGGGTGAGAAGAACACTAGGATGGAATCAGCTGTTCAAAAGATTGAGGGGAATATCTGTGAACTGCAAACGGGCAGGGCGGCAGAAGGCAGGGGAGCCCTTAGAAGGCATGCGGTGTGGATCCACATGAAGGCGGGGGAAAGGAGGGAAGTGGTGGGGGGAAGAATCTAGAATGTGATGCAGCATCCAGAAAGAAGCAGCCAGAGTGATGGGCAGTTTTCCAGCCAAAGATGCCCATCGGAGGAGTTTTGTGCTGTGGGAGAGGGCCTGTGCTCAGTCACTGAGCTGCAGGACCGAGGCCTTGGAGCAAATATGGAGATGGACCCAGAGCGGCGGCAGTGAGGTTGTCTGTCAGTTACGCTCCCCAAAGTGAAGGATCTGAGTGGTGTGTTTGCAGGGCCTCTGCACCAAGGCAAACACACGCCACATGTCTCAGGTTGGTTTTATATTCACGTTGTGGCTCAGCTGGTAAAGAATCTGCCTGCAATGTGGGAAACCTGGGTTCGATTCCCGGGTTGGGAAGATCCCCTGGAGAAGGGAAAGGCTACCCACTCCAGTGTTCTGGCCTGGAGAATTCCATGGACTGTATAGTCCATGGGATGGCAAAGAGTCAGTGACGACTATGCGACTTTCACCTTCACTTTCACTTGTCATAATACAAAACTGGCTGCTGGTCTAAATAAAATGGCAAAAAATCACCAAGTTGAGATGATGAAGGCAGGAAACATGTATGTGGTAGCTGTAGGGGGCGGGTAAAAGAGGACTAAATTTCACTGTGGAAAGTGAAAAGACAATGCTCCCAAATCAAGAAATAGAAATAAATTACATATGGAGGGGAATGTGAAAAGAATTAGGAAAAAGAATTAAAAGTGCTTGTCCCTGAAGAGCAGGACAGAGAGAAAAGGGAGAAGAGGGTGGAGAAGGGAGAACACATATAAGTGAAAGCAAGAATTCAGAAGCTTGGTCGAGTACTCAGCACATAGTAGGTGCTCAGAAAGTGATCATCAAGGTGATGATGATGATGTATTCGATGCACTCAGTGTTTGATGCATATAACAAGTGTTTCACTTGTTATATAATAGCATTTCCCATCTTGAAGAGTGAGCAATTAGCCATGGCTGTTCATTCTCAGGGCTTCCCTGATGGCTCAGATGGTAAAGCGTCTGCCTGCAATGCAGGAGACCTGGGTTTGATCCCTGGGTTGGGAAGATCCCCTGGAGAAGGGAATGGCAACCCACTCCAGTATTCTTCTCAAGGATTCTATATCAAGTGATCAGAGCCTTTGAGTATCCACCTGCCTCTCAAACCAACCACCTAATGGGAGCCAGAGCTGGTGGCTCATTCCACATTAATTTTTACAGTGTGTGGACACCTTCCGTCTCTTTCCCAAGCAGGTTGAGTCTGTGCTGCTGAGCAAACGTTTTGCTGGTGCAGGAGAGGAGGATGTCCTGTGCGTTTTAATAAGGGAAAAAAAAATGCCAGGGGGAATAGCTGCTGGCTCAGGTGACGTCAGCCCACAGATGGGGCTGGCAGGTAAGCTTGGCAGCCACAGTCGCTCCAGCTGTGCCCGTGGTCAGGAGCCAGACGCGGTTGGGGGAGCACAAGAGGTTCCACGCACACCTGGACATCAGCCTCAGTACACAGGGTCACAGAGGGGGAAGCCTAGCTTAGCTGAGCCAAAGGATGTTCCTAAGGAGGTCTGGGCACTAACCCCAACAGCTGGAGCTGGAGCAAAGCAAAACCAGGGGAGTCTGGCCAGCTCGGCTCATCACCTAGGGCTCTAAGGTTCCACTGCATTTAAAGATGGAAAGCTCAGCCCAGCCTGCGGCTGTTTACTGGCAAAGGCTCATGAAAACCGATGCACGGTACCCCACTGGGTTCTGCACCCTGGGTTCTAAAACAGGCTCTGCTCTGTAGGACCCAAGCAGTCTCCTCCCCTTTCTGGGCCTCAGTTTCCCCATCTACAAACTGAGGGCTCCTCTATGTCTCTTCTGGCACTTGCAAATTTCTATTTGGCACAGTGCCCCCACACATAGCTGGCCAGCTATCCACATCTCTAGAGTGAATGAATGATCACCCCCTTTGAGGACAGCGGTTTGGAAGGAGTAGTCCTTTCTACCTCTTAAGTGTAGGAGACACAGAAAGCAGGAGGGATGCAGGACTGGCTGGGGAATTTAAGAACGAACCGGGGATCCCTAAACGTGGCCGTCTGGGACCTCCTAGGGCGGGGGAAAGACCAGCTACACACTCAGAGTGAGAGCGGCAGGCAGATGCCTCTGTGTTACCGTGGCAACAGCAGCTGGTGGGAAAGGCAGCCAGAAGATGCCGAGAGAAGCTTTTTTTTCCTTCTTGTTTTAAATGACCAGCTTTCTTTCTGCAAAGGAGAGAGGAGTAGCAGTTAGCAGAGAAGAGGGGCTAAACAGAGGGGAGACTCGGGATGAGGGCAAAACTCACCCTTGAAATGGTAGGAAAATCTCTTCCTCTTTTTGAAAGCAAACTCTTCAGGTCTGGTTTTACGATTTGAGGACAGCAGTAAATTTCAGCAACTGCGGTAGTGACTCCGGAGCTTCGGTGGCGCGGGCTCCTCGCTCAGTCCTCCACACCGGTGGTCAGTTTCACCCTCTTGGTAGTTGCCATCAAGACAGAGGATCAGCTCCATCTTACAGATAGGGAGACTGGGCTTCAGATAGGGTCAGTGCCTGCACCCAAGAGCAACATGGCAATACAAGGGGGATCGGCATCCTGGTTTGGCTTCAGAGCCTGTGACTTCAGTGTGAGTTCTTAGTTGCTCAGTTATGTCCCACTCTTTGCAACCTCATGGACTGTAGCCCACCAGACTCCTTTGTTCATGGGACTCACCAGGCAAGAATACTAGAGTGGGTGGCTACTCCCTTTTTCAGGGGATCTTCCTGACCCAGGGATTGAACGCTCATCTCCTGCTTTGCAGGAGGATTCTTGACCCTCTGAGCCACCGGGGAAGCCCCCTGTGACATGCCTTTGCAAAATCGTGTGGTATGACCCAGGGCAGGTAGTTGGGAAGCCACAGTGATTGCTGTTCATTTTCCTTCTCAAGTCATCATTTCAGGATGGGAGCCTTAGACCCACACTCTGTGAAAATATTTGCTTCCTGTCCCTGAAATGGACTGACTGTTCTCTGCTCTTAGAGTTGATGTAGTTGCCTGCGGTGGAGTGGGGAAGGATCAGTGGGGTGGATAATGCACGGGCTCTGAAGGTTGAATCCGGCACTTAGCAGGTGTGGGCCCTGGGGCTGTGCCTTGGTTCTTTCTCCTGCCGGTGGAGATGGTCGTGGACCTTTTCATAGGACTGTAATGACTAAATGCATTAATGCATGTAGAACCCACTGGAGCATCTGACCCATGGCACTTGCTCAACAGATATTAGTTATTTTACTGAACACCCATCCTGTAGGAGAAGGAAGAGAAGCCGAGACGAAGGGTGATTTCCCAAAGACCCACAGAGAACCAGCCTCCTAGGGTGGATGTGATGCCCACCACGCAGTGGGGTTGCTGACTCACACCTCTGGTGCACCAAGACCCTCACTCACAGCGCGTCCAGCCTCTGGTCACAGACACAGCAAAGACATAAGGAACACAGTGCCAGGGAGCTCCCAACGGGGGAAAGAGCGTGACTATTCAGAACCATAAACCCAAGGAGCCCTGTTACGGGGCCCACTGCTCCATCCTCTTGGAATTACGGTTTCATCAATGAACGTTACTGTAATTCGTTATGTATGTTATTCATGCCATCACAATTCAGTAATCAGCTTGGACTATCCCCTGAGTTCATAAACAGACCATGTTTTTTAGTCCATTGCTCTGGTTTCAGGCAGGGTGAGGATCCCGGGGGTTAGAACAAAAGGCAGGTGTGAGAGGAGAGCAGGATTCCTGCCTCCAGGAGACAGGTCTGAATGGAGAGCTACATACAAGCGATGGGGTTCACGTGGGAGGCCTTGGCAAAGAGAGGAGGATCCAAGTAACAAGGAGGCATTGAAGGAAGAAAAGCAAGATACACCCTTGAGCACAAGTGCCCAGCACCAGGCAGGAGCTTCTGCACACATTCACTTGCTAATCCTTTGTGGTGGGTATTTTGGCAGCTGTCTTACAGGATGGGTGAGTCTAAGTCTAAGGGAAGTCGCTCAGTCGTGTCCGAGTCTTTGCGACCCCATGGACTGTAGCCCACCAGGCTCCTCTGTCCATGGCATTTTCCAGGCAAGAGTACTGGAGCGGGTTGCCGTTTCCTTCTCCAAGGATGGATGAACTGAAGATCAAAAAGAGAGCCAGAAGCTTGCTGGTTGTCAAATGGGCGTGTCAGTGCTAACTGCCATGCTCCAGACACCAGAAGGATGTGGTGGGGTCTGGGAAGACTGCATGCTTTTCCTGAAAGTGGGAATGGAGATGTGAGTCTTTGTGATACATATGTTAAAGGTCAGGGGTCAGATTCTCCAGGAACACCAACTGCTGTGTACACAGTATATGGGTTTTCCAGGGTGAAAGAGAAAGTATTCACCCCTTTGCACTGGGGAATCAGTGTGGATAGTATTCCCTGGATTCACTGGGGTAAGTAGAGTGGAATGTTGTACAAGGCCTGGCAGGGGCCAGAGGGCCTGGCAGAGGCTGGCATTCAAAGCCAAGTCATCCATATTTACAGGGTGGAGGAGCCAGCTGGGTCACTGCCAGCCACAGGTTGGCGGCAGGTCTTTGTGAGAGAGGTTATAATATTGCTAGAAAGTGTGAACTTTTACTATTAGAAGGGGATGCTCTGTTTGCAAAACACTTCTTGGTCACTTTCAATTTGGCAGCTACTGGGTGCAAGTTTACTAATGCCTAAGCATCCCATTTTGGTTGGGGGTGAGAAAGTGAAAGTCGCTCAGTCATGTCCAACTCTTTGTGACCCCATGGACTATACAGTCCATTGAATTCTCCAGGCCAGAATATGGAGTGGGTAGCCTTTCCCTTCTCCAGGGGATCTTCCCTACCCAGGGACTGAACCCAGGTCTCCCACATGGCAGGTGGATTCTTTACCAGCTGAGCCACAAGGGAAGCCTGGTTGGAGGGGTAGGAGAGCTGCTTTTTGGTGATTCCTGCAAAAGGGAACAACACTAAATGGGAATTATTGCTACAGAAACCAGAGTTGCTCTGGAGAGTTGTCAGGATGTAGGATATCACCTTTTAGGGGTGAGGAATAGAGCAGGAAGTGCCCCCTAAACACCACCTGATCTAACCCACCATTTAGAGGGGCTGTTTGTGAGTCTGCAGCCAGACTGTGGTCTGTGGTCTGCAGGGTGTGTCTCTTGTCTGGTCACTGAGCAGGCAGGACTGGTGGCTAAGAGGAGCCAGAGCCAGCCACTGACTGCCTGGGGGTCCGTCTCGAAGCCTGAGGTCCGTGGGCACGGGTGGGTGTGACTCCTGTTGAGCCCTTTGATGAATGTTGGCGGCAGGAGCACAGCCAAGTGGGGGTCTAACCGAGCCCACAGGTGGGGTGGCCCTCCCCCTGCGTGCGTCCCCGGGGCCCCGGCAGGGAGTCTGCCGCCTGAGCAAGGGTCTGCCTTTGCGACACAGCCCTCCTCTCTCTTGGCCGCCCCTCCCGACCCCCCGCCCAGGCTTTCACAGGCTTCTCCCTGGATCTAAAAGCTCCTACAAGGCACTCCTGTCACCGGTGGCTGCCAGGTCATTGTCGCTGAGGGTGATCAGCCCCGCTGCTGATGCTGCTCCTAGAGGCATCCCATTGAGAAGTGAAGATGCCATTGGCAGGACATCCTGCCCCAGACTATTTCTCCTTGTGTCTTATTGGCCAGTACATTGTGTCCTCTATTTTTCTTAAACCAGTTGTGGCAGAGGAATAATATTACCATCACGGTATGTATCAATCAGGAATCTTTACTCAGCCATAAAAAGGAGAGAAATTAGGTCATTTAAAGAGATGTGGATAGACCTAGAGTCTGTCATACAGAATGAAATAAGTCAGAAAGAGAAAAATAAAAATCCTACATTAATGCATGTAATATGGAATCTAGAAAAATGGTACGTGCACGCTCAGTCATGTCCGACTCTTCTAGACCCTATGGACTGCAGCCCTCCAGGCTCCTTTTGTCCATGGGATTCTCCAGGCAAGAATACCGGTGTGAGATGCTGTGCCTTTCTCCAGGGGATCTTCCCGACCCAGGGATAGAACCTGGGTCTCACGTGTCTCCTGCATTAGCAGGCGGGTTCTTCACCACAAGCACCGCTTGGGAAGCCCAGGGTAAAAATGGTACCCATGAGTTTATTTCCAGGGCAAGAACAGAGACACAGAAGTAGAGATCAGACATGTAGACACATGGGGTGGGGGGAGGGGAAGGCCGGACAAATTGTGAGATTGGGATTGACTTTTATACACGACCATGTGTAAAAGAGATTGCTGGTGGGAACCAGCTATAAACAGAAGGTACAGGGAGCTCAGCCTGGTGCTCTGTGATGACCTGGAGGGGTCGGATCAGAGGTGGGGCAATGAGAGGGAGGGGATGTATATAAGCACATAGCTGATTCACTTCACTGTACGGCAGAGACTAACACAGTATTGCAAAGCAATTATATGCCAATAAAATTGTTTCAAAGGGATCGTGTCCTGGGCTGGAAAGGCCATACCTTCCCCCAGAGTCTGAACAAAGGGGATCTGTGTTGCAGAAAAGAAGAGAGGAACGACTCCGGGGCAGCTGCAGAGGTTTGCTGACTGCCTTCAGTGGGCCAGCCCTTGAGCTGGCCTCTTCCATGTCGCTTCAATCACATCACCCTCTCTGCAGCATGCAGGCGGGTATTACCATCCCCATTTCCTGAAGTTGAAGCCCAGAAAGTTGAAGAGTGATTTGCCGACGGTCCCACAGCTACTTCCCGGGAGAGCTGGGGTTCGAATCTGATTCCACCTTCCGGAACCACCAGGGTCCCCTGCGGGAAAAGCACTCTACCTGCTGATTTGGAGAGGTTTTGCAAAAGTAAGAAAAACTTCAGCTTGGAAATAGCTGGCTGATTGAAGGGACAGAAAGAAAATTGTATTCCCTTGCTGGAGGTAACCTTGTGTTTTAATAAAATAGTTTAAAGGAAAGAGAAACAGCTTCCTGTTGGCTGTTGAGAAGCCTAACTCTGAGCTGCTGAAATATTTACTCTCCTGTAATTTTTGGCCATCCCTCAGGCTCAGGCAAACTGCTGCGCAGGAGGAGAGAATCAGCAGCGACTCCACGGGCCGTTCACAGGAAGAAACTCCTGCCAGTGGGTAGCCGTGGTCCACGAATGGGCTCCCTGGGAGGCTCATTGGGGATTTATTTCTGGGCAGAAGTAATTTCTCTTTAGAGGGAAGACTCTAGGCTGCCTCTTCCAGAGGGAGTGGAGGTTAGATCTTGCTAATTTTCTTCCTATATGGCTGGCAAAATTTCCCCCCTAGGCACACGGGCTGTGCTGGTAAATTGCTTTGGATTTGAAGGTGGTTTTGTTTCTAATTCAGATACAGTTGGTTCATTTTAACTCCCACGTCCTGGAGGCATCTACTCTACACATCTACACATCTACACCCTGTGCCAGGAATTACCAGAACACATCTGGAAGGTCCCGTCTGCCCCCAAGGGCTCCACTGGCAGCAAAGAGAAGATGCTGATAACCTAGGACAGTGTTGGGATGGGCTGTGGGTGTCCTCAGGTCAATTCTCCCACCTGGGGAGAGGCAGGGTCAGGAAAGGAAGGCTTCCTGGAAGAGGTGAAGCCTAGCATTAAAGGAAGAGTAAAGGAGGCTATTTCAGTGGGAGGGAATAACCATGACAGCCTAAATGGCAAAATCACAAAAGCCTAAACTTGTGTTGCCGCCTCTACCCCAGGCACATACTATATAACAGTAAAAGGAACAAACACCATCCTAAGTGTTTTGCATTTATAAAAGTATTTAATTCTTATAGCAATGTGTGGAAAGCATTTATTATTGCTCTTTTACAAATGAACAAACAAGCACAGAGAGATGAAACAACTCAGTGAAGTATATGGCAGAGATGGGATTAGAAATCAGGCAGCCT